CTGGGACGTGAGGCGCTTGCAACAGTTTTCTGAACGTCTGAATTGGTGATCGTCACATCCTTACGTCACACGTTGCTGGACGTCATCCTTGTAATTTGGTGTTTGGCTGCATGAGAACGGACTTTGCTTGATTTTTAACAAAGTTTGTACGAAACCATGTAAGTTTTGCTTACACGGGGTTTGACATATTTCTTAAACTAAATAAATGTGCGCGTATGCGGCCTCTTTACGAATGGATTCTTGGATAGTGTAGTGTCGGAAATTACCAAACGTTTAGCGGCGTGAGGAAGAGCTAGCATGCTAGCAGCTAAAAAGTCGTCAAATCTCAACAATGTGTGTCAAGCGTAATAACAATCAAAGATCGTGTTATTAGGTGAGCCTTTGGGTACCTGAAGTGCAGCTTTCAAGCTGACTAATCCATGTGTTAAATGGCAACAGAGAAATCTGACGTGGTATAACTTAAGTTACAGCTACGCATGCACATAGTGACTTGTTTGTATTTTCTGCTCAGACATAAGGCGGAATCATTTGAAAAAGTTGCACCTCATTGCTCCAGCTCCGGTTCTGTAGCGATGTATGGACGTGTGTACTCCAGGATTCTCCATCGAGCTTCTAGCTACAGGCTGAAGGTTTATCGCAAAGTCCCATTGCAAGTTTGTATCTCGATCAGACTGCACTGTTCATATGCACATTCTGTCACAATTTCTATATTTTGTCATTGTTATTATCGTGTTATTGTTCCCTTTCAGACAGCCCACAAGTGTCCCTTTACGTCCTGGAGTCCGTCTCGATCAGACCAGAGTTTCTGCACTGGTGAAGAATCTGGAGCCTGGACTCGAAGTTGCTGTCATTTCTCCACACGGGCGGATTTAAACTTTCAGCAGAGCCAAGTGCAGATTAATAGCATCCTAAGAAGCAATGAACAGGTAAGAGAAATCAGACTGAATCAATAATATTGAGCTGGTTCCAGAGATAGACGAGGGACAGTGGCGAATTTTGATTTAGTTAACGTGGCTCTCCACCCTGGGTGGCATTATGTGAGGGTTGTCATTAGAATGTAATAGGAAAATGTAATTTGCTCCCAAACACATTTTCTTTTGCTTAATTGCATGTCCAGTTAGTGGTAGGGTAAAAATTTTTGCACTGTGTAATACAAATTTATTTTGTCTCCCAAAATATTTTTTTAAACAAATAAAATGGAATAGAAAAAAAAAACAACAACAATATTTAGTTTAGTTTTAATCCTTATTGCTTCTCCTAGGGTACATATACAGTAATCACATTCTGTAAAAAAGAATATTATTATAAAGCACTTATTTTTTCAGTAAGTCAATTCATTAAGTGAAATGGATTATAAGTGCATACATACAGATATCTTCAAACGTTTATTTCTGTTAATTATAATATTATGCTTACACAATTAAGCTTACATCAAATGTAATATTACATCATACCATTAAAAACATGTTCAATATGTTTTTAATGTGCATCTGCATATGTATATATACACACACACGGACATTTTTAATGTTTTTTTGGAATAGGCAATTTCCGAAATAATCTGATTTATTTAAATGTCTGCACATTGACTGAGATTTTAATCATGAGGGTGCCTTTTGGTTTCAGACTGTGAGTGTGCCAGAGTTTGATGGGCGGGCACTCAGTGCTGTGAGAAAGTTCGACAGCAACCATTTATCTGCAAATACTCCTAATGAGGACCGTCGTAGTGCAGCCACATGCTTACAGGTATGCATCTACTTTTTATGTTTTTATTTTTTTCCCCACTTATTAAAATGAAATATTTGTGTGTGTGTGTGTGTGTGTAATCCACAGTCAAAGGGCATGCTGTTTGGAGTGTTTGACGGCCACGGGGGCTGGGCATGTGCCCAGGCCGTAAGCGAGCGGCTGCTGTACTATGTAGCAGTGGCAATGATGCCGAAGCAAATCCTGGAAGAGCTTGATAAGTGCATGGATCTTGGCAGGCCTATTCCACCCATCTTACAATGGTATAAACATCATTCAGATTTTAACTATCGTGAATCAGCGCCCCTGTACATAAGACACCTTAGAGTCTTCTGGCAAGAGTTATTGGACAATGAGGAGCATGATGAAGGCATGAGGTAGGTTAACACGTTTGTAGTTCTAACATCCTAGGGATGAAACTTAGTGAAAACACTACAATTTCAAACACAGCTAATTTTGTTTAATAGGTCTTTGATCTTTTACCATATTACCTCTGCATGTTTTTTATTTTATTTTTTTAACCAGTTTGCATTTTCTAGCATTTTTTCTGATGTGTGCCTATCTGTCTTTTTGTAAAATATTTGTGGCTGTTTTTTTGAAACTTGCTCAGCTCTGTGTGTTTCTGTCTTATGACAAGTCAGATCATTTGGAGTTACAATATGACTGGTGTACTTTTGAATTTGAATGGGATGGCATGAGCATGCAGCTTTTAGGGAAACACTTTCATCTATTATGTCTCAACATTTTTACATAAACTTTAGAATGCATTGAAAAGCATCTTCAGTGAATGAATCTCAATGAACCAAACCTGGGAATAATTTTTTCTAGTCCTCAGGAGGCTCTGAGCTGTGCTTTTAGACGTCTTGATGCTGACATCTCTTTGGAGGCTCAAGTCCCACTTTCCAGTGACCTTATGAAAAGTACAGCCATCCAGGTAACTACTCACAAATCTTTTTCGCCTCAGAGCTCACGCAGTCTGAAAAATACTAATGGTTTTATATCCACAGTTGTCAGGCAGCTAAACCCAGATGTCAATATTCTTAAACAGGAGTTCTGCAGACGTAGATCCCCATCCCTGACTTTCTTTTCCAGGTGGCGTTTGCTGGATGCACTGCCTGTGTGGCTCACGTTGGAACCGATGGGATCCACGTGGCAAATGCAGGAGATTGCCGCGCAGTTTTAGGGGTGCAGAACAGTGACGGTTCCTGGAGTGCTGTCCCGCTTTCCAAAGACCACAACTCACAGAACCAAGATGAGCTGGAACGTATTAGAGCGCAGCATCCACCTTCAGAGAGAGACACAGTGGTCACAGATGACAGACTGCTCGGGGTGAGCTGGTATAAACAAAGAAAATCTGATTTATGAAATAAGTTAGTTATTCTTTCTTTCTCTGTCTCATTTTCAGGTTCTCATGCCTCTACGCGCCTTCGGTGACGTGAGATTCAAGTGGAGCGTTGACCTGCAGCAGAGCATTTTAGCCAGCCTTGAATCTGGAGTGGATCTTGACTCTTTGAACTTGTATCAGTACACTCCGCCTAACTATTTAACACCGCCGTACCTGGAAGTGACACCTGAGATAACCTATCACAAGCTGAGACCCCAGGACCGCTTCCTGATCCTCGGCACTGACGGGTTGTGGGACGAATTCTCAAGTGATGAGGCAGTGCGGCTGGTTGGAGAACACCTCAGTGGAATTCATTTACAGGTTTGTTCAGAGAACTTGCTTAAATACATTACTATATAAATGTGTGCTTGGACAATGTCTTGATTTTGCCAAGGCTGGTGCAAGCAATTAAGCTAAAAGATAAATTCCATCTATTTTTTTAAATAGACAGACGTATTATCAGAGATGGGGATAATACGTCTCTAGATAAAAGCTTTTCACAGCTTTTATCATTAAATTAATGAAAACAGATTTTGTATTTACTCGGGTTATCTTTGGGAAATATTAGCACTTCTTCGTTGATCTCAAACATTTAAATTTAACAACAGAGAAAGAACTGAAATGTTACTCCCTCGACCAAATCATACCTGGAGTGCTGATTTGATCTCTTCATGCGTGTTTGATGAATCTTTGAATTTCCCATGGCATCTATTCAGGGGTGCCTAAATGTTTGCTCTCACAAAGGGTGGACAGCATTGCTGTGATGTCGAACTGATGGCAGAGTCTCAGAAAGGATCTTAAATGCATCGAATTTCTTTTCAGCATTTTTCTTTAAACAACTAAAGATATGTTATTGATTAGAGTTTTAAAATGGCACAATGTGCCTGGAAAATACGTACATAATATGATCCCTTTAAAAGGTTGCTAGGCTGAAAACATCACCGTTTACGGCAAACCAATTCATATTTATCATGTCCCAAGAATTTTTTTCATGTCTTTCTGACTTTTCAACCTCTGGTCATTTAGGCTCCAGTTTCTCCTTCGGAGCGAAAGCTCAAGCTGGGTCAGATGCATGAACTCTTGCTGAAGCGGCGAGCTCGCGCCTCTCCAGCTCTGGATACCAACGCCGCCACTCATCTGATCCGACACGCTCTTGGAACTGGAGAGTATGGGGAGCTGTCCCAGGAGAGGCTGGCCTCAATGCTCGCTTTGCCGGAGGACCTGGCCAGAATGTACAGGGACGATATCACAGTTACTGTGGTGTATTTGAACTACGACCTGGCTAGACCCCGCCACAGTTAGCAAACTCAGTGAGTCCGACCACAGAGCTACGCTTGGTTACATACAGTCAGTATTTTGTCATGGCCGGTGTTACGCAAGCTGTTTTCCAGAAGAAGTGAAGTGAAATGATCGTTGTCAATGTTATTTTCTGTCCAGATGTTATTTTACATGAATGACTGTTTACCTTTAACCTTTCAGACATGTAATCCCAGTTTTCTTTTGGGAGAGAAAGTTCCATGTCAGCACTTTTACCTTTGTCAGTATTCTTCTTTGTGTCTTGCACAGACAATCCATCTTTGCCTTTTTTCCTGTTTCCTTTGTATTGATGTGAGCTAAAAAGTTTACTGTAAAATTTCTATTAAGAGTATCATGTTGATTTAATCAACTATTTTTAAATGATCAGTTCTGTTCCATAATGGGAAAAAATATATTATTTTATAAATAAAAACATAAATCAATACCAAAACAATTATTTTTTTATTTGAAGTTTAGAATTTAGAACAGTTCATGTCTCTGTTATCTCAACATATCAGCAGCAGAGTTTTCACAATAAACGTTGAACATTTGTTAAGAGCTGGGCGACATGGGAGCCAATCCAATCCTTTCCTGCTTTGTAAACACGAGTGTTTGTGCTCAGTGACCAAAGTTCATCCAGACAATTTTGATATTGCAAACAAATCCCAAGTGGAAAATATATCAATTTGGTTTATCACTGTTACTAAACACTTACTTTTTTTTTTAAATATCAGAGAAAGACAACGCATTTTAGAAAATTTAAGTGTAAAGTCTTGTCTCCATAACCCCACGTCTATGTTTGGTTGAGCTGACTTTCACAGTTGGTTTTCTGTTTTTAACCGTTTCCCCACTTGATGAAGTCATGCAGAAACTCAGTATTACTGGTGTTAGACGGTAAACAAAGGGATGGGGTCAGCGATTTGGTTTCACAGTAAGAGCACAGTAGTGTGGTAGAGAAGAAAACTCTCCATCAGAGGAAGTTCTAATACACAATGAACTTGTGGTTACAAATCTGACTTGTACAAAGCAGTGGGTACAGTTAGAGAGGATCCAGCGACGGTCGGGACAGATCCGCTTGGCGTCAGAAATGAAGGACATGACTGGGAACAGGAAGATTTTGATAGGGACCCTCATATTCTGGCAACTCAAGGCGAGTTTGCTTTTTTATTTTAACATTTTAAAGGATCTGTTTTTATTTCTTTCTTATTCTTAAAAAATAAAAACTATTGAACTGATGACAGTGAAGCTTGCCTTAGATGTTGAAGTATCAGTGTGTCCTTAGAGTAATCTTGAAAGACATTGCTGGCTGTTTTATTGTTGTTCCATATTTTCTCCCTTTGTGAAAAATTGCTGTGTTTCCTTGGAATCTCTATGTAAAAATGAATAAGCTTAACATTTGTCTTACTATTAAATATTATTGATTTGTAGGCTATAACCTTTAGGTGTGTTTAGAGATGTAGAGGAAACAGCTGCAGATCTGGATCTCACTTGATTATAATTCTAGCTTATTCCAATAAGTTCTGAGAATAAGACAATTTAAAATTTAAATTTGAAACTTCAAAGCTAATAGGTTTTTGTTTTTGCTAATATGTATTTTTTTTTTATGAAATTGATCATTTCTGTTTTCTGTGGTTTAGGTTGCATTCATTAAGATTTCAAAAACAGTTTCAAAAATCACTTAAGTTGCATTCATATGTAAAATTTGCAACATATAGATCTATGTTGCAAATGAAATAATTTGCAGTGATTGAATTATTTTTTATAATTAAAGTGAAGTCAATTAAATGTCATGTTATGACCGTCTAGTGTTGGCCAGATTATAACATGAAGGATCCATCCTCATCAGATCTTAAGTAGCCAACACACAAGATGTTGAACATTTTGTAATGTTATTTGTGTTGGACAAAAAGTGTGAGCTGAGAATGGATCACAAGAAGTCGGCACCTGCAGCTTTTATATCCGTCACCTCCGGCAGACAACCAATTGAACATCTCCGTCTTGGTTTTGGAACCAATCAAGAGACAGGCACCTGCACACTCATATTTACATAATTAAGTTAAAGACGGCAGTTGTAACACTTTGCATATAAACGCTCTAAATAATCACAAACTTCATGGAGAAACACACGATGACAGCAATGAACCAAACGCTTTAAGGGAGGAGTAGAAATTATTGGAACATCAAGTCAGGATCAGAGAAAAGGCAAACAGAGCATCGAAATACAACTTAACATGAATGCATAGAATAGTTATAACATACTCAAAAACTTATTTTATTTACTTAATCTAAACAGGAAAATTCATTTATTTTTGATTTATTACCACAGTCGTAGACTAACCAACACTCAAAACGTTCAGAATATATGAATGTAGATGTGCTGGCTGTTTACAGAGTACCTTATCAAACAGAAAGTCTGGTGGAAGGAAAAGCATGGCAGCGATGCACTGACAACACTGACAACCATGCAGCTGAGAGGAAACTGAAGCAAAGATTTAGATGTGTCCTAGACATGATTTATTACTGTGATATTTCTTCCTAACTCTTATAAACCCTAAATTGAGCATTACTTCCATTTAGTGATGACACATAAAACTGCTGGCTAAAAATGACTTTTGAAGTGTTTAGATAACTCTTGAATGTTTTCTCCACAGTGTTTGGTATCTCTAGATCCAGCATGGACACAACTGAGGTTCTTGGGCAAAATTCACAATGATGCAAAGAGTCCAAATGAAAGCAACCATGAGGTACATTTAAAACAATGTTTTCATCACTCATCGCATGAGAATCATGGCTGTAATGCAGCATGGTGTCCTCATTCAACCAGGATGATGCTGCCTCCGTTCTCCAGCTGCCATGGCATTCACTGGCTGGCGGATTGAGGCGGATGAAGAGGGGCTGGGTTATTCCACCAATTAACTTTCCAGAAAACAATGGGGGACCATATCCCAAATTTCTGGTGACAGTAAGTGAGTTTTTATTTGGGGAACTCACTGCTGTCAATTCATGTGCTCTGAAATATGCTTCTTCAAAATATTGCCATGTATTAGATGTCATTTTTTAAATTTCTTTTTTCCAAAGCTTAAGTCAAGTAAAGCTGAAACAGTAGCCATAACATACAAGATCAGTGGCCCAGGTGCGGATCAGCCCCCTGAAGGTATTTTTACTGTCGATGACCGGTCTGGTATGATTTATGTGACCGAGCCACTGGACAGGGAGAAACAAGCCAAATACACTGTAAGCCTCATTTAATCATTTCTCTCTGTTTTTTTTTTTTTTGTCATTCCTTATATGAGGCTGATGGTGCTGAGGAGATTAAATCCTTCTGGACTTTTTTATTACAGCTGTGGGCTTATGCCCAGACAGGCACAATACATGCAGAGCAGCCCATGGAGCTCATCATCAACGTCATTGACCAGAATGACAACAAACCAGAATTCAATCAGACAGTTTTCACCGGCAGAGTGAGCGAAAGTGCCAAAGTTGGTAAGGAGTCAGTACAGCAAGATAACAGAACCTAAATATTCCTTTCCGTTCGGAGCCGTGACTTAATTTCTTCAACAGGTAAACCCATCTTGAGTGTAACAGCTGAAGATAAGGACGATCCAGATACATACAATGCTATAATTAGGTATCGACTGCTATCTCAGATACCTGGAATGCCCAAAGAGGAGATGTTTGCTATAAACGCAGTGAATGGACGGATCAGTCTGAAGGAACAGGGACTGGATAGAGAGGTAATGAGGCTTTCTGTGTGAGCATTATTCTTTTTAAACTTTTGTCCCCCACAAATTTCTTTGTATGCAAATGTTATCCTTCTAGACTCATCCAGAATATACACTGATTGTTACTGCTGCTGATATGAAAGGGGAAGGTCTGATCACAACCTGCACTACTATCATTACCGTTACTGACAGCAACGATAATGCTCCAAATTTCATTGACACATCTGTAAGTTGCAAAACTTTCTCTGAAATATGATGAAATTAAAAATGTGTTGAGAGTTTAACTTTTGAACTCACTGAGGAGTGTTTCTTGCTATGTTTGAGATATCCACAACAGTCCATGAGAATGAGATAGGAGTGGAGGTAGCAAGACTGAAAGCCACTGACATGGACGAGTCAGGATCTCCAAATTCAAACACCAAATATTCCATCATCAAAGGCAATGAAGCGGGAGCCTTTAACATCACCGTTGGTTCAAATAAGATGGAGGGAATAATCACAACTGCCAAGGTTCAGAAAATTACCCTGAAAATGTTATTCAAAAGTCATATAGACATCGTATTTACTGATCTTCTCACCTTCTTTTTCAAGGAACTGGATTTTGAGAACTTGTCTGAGTACAAACTGTTGGTGGCGGTAACAAACGAGGCGCCATTTTCCGTCCCCGTGTCCACATCTACAGCCACAGTCACAATAAAAGTCATTGACCGAAACGAGCCTCCTGTTTTCAGCCCAGCCGAGGTTCACATAACCCTCTCAGAGGATGTGAGAGTCGGCACGGCCGTGGTCCAGCTGAAAGCAAAGGACCCGGATACAGCCAGAGCACAGCGCGTAACGTAATCAAAACACACACTGCTTACCTTTGAGTGTCTTCAACATTTGATCAAACTCTGTGGCCAGCATATTGTCTGTTTCTACTGCTTTACTGACAATTTACATTTGGTGACAATGTAACACAGTAGAGAAGGGTCCAATATGTTTCGATAGATGGGCCAATAGGTTCGGTTGTCGGAGCACGATAGGTGTTTAAATGACACACAAACACAGTTGAGTGAATTTAAAGAACAATTAGCTTTAGTAACATTAACCATAAACTCACAATTGGACAAGACACACAATTAAGAAAATAAAATGACACACAATAAAATACATAAAATAAAAACAACAATAAAGTGCTAAACCTCAAATTTAAATCTTTTGGGTGCACCCTGGTAATCTGCACTCTAATCTTTTTAAACAACAAATCAATCAAATTAAATCCCAATTCAGGTCTCACTCAACATCATTCACATAAGGAGAATCTCCTACACAGCAGTTTATTGTCATGTCAAATAAAAAGAAAACGGTCCGAAAGGCAGTGTCCAATATGTCCAGGAAACAACAACAAAAAATGTCAGTCAGTGTCTCATACATAACCACTGTGTGCGAAGATGTGAGTGATAACAGCCTACCACATTGCAGGGTGCAGCAGGGCTCCAAACGCAAGGGAGGAAATCCAGTTCTCTCTAAGTCCAGGTGGGAAGACCCGCCATCAAGGTCAATAGAGGAATCCACTCCAGGAAAGTTAAATGGGGAATCCACCTCAGGAACAATCCAGGAGAAAAAAATAAAAACCTGATCTGTCAACAGACAAGAACAGCAGAAATATAGAATTTTTATTCTATAACCAATCTAGCTTACATCCTTAGATCATGTTTCATAACTGTTGTAAAATTCTTTTCCAAGCACAATAATAAAACATTACATTTTACCCAAACTCAGCAAAGGTTCACATTTGAATAACTAAGTAGTTCAAATAAAGACTATTATTCGACAACAACAAGATAAAAAGAACAAAAAACAAATGAAAAGCATAAAATATGCTCACCGATCTCAGTGCGGCACGTTCAGAACAACTACATAGTGACTCAGTCTGGACACGTAGGGCACTAGACAGTGTAAAAAGCATATTTTTCAAGTTTTAACTTCAACAATATGAATTGAATAAAATAAAAATAGATTATTATTTAGGCTTTACCTTCAGTTGAACTGAGACCAACTGCCAACCAACTGCCGGAAGAGCTAACAGTTCCAACTGATCTTAACGGCTCTAACGGCAGAAAATCTCGTTCAGTTTTCTGAAGCTTACAACTCTTTCTAGCTTAGAAATTCGACTATAAACAATAACTATTTACACACAAAAAAAGAAAAGTTTCTTCAAAGTCAATAAACAACATTAAAAACATATCAAAAGACTCTCACTCTGTCTCAGCTGTCTCATCAGGGTCGGATCTCCCGCATACAATCAATTCTGCCAACACGGGAAAGAAGGCGGAGTCTCTGTGGCATTCCGCTCTCTGATTGGTCTAAAAATTCACGGAAACCAAACTTCCCATTGGCCAGACAGACCACCCCCGCCTACCCAATCTCTATTCCTTAAAGGGCTATCCCCACTTTATGTGGGTTACAAAAAACTCCAATTCTTAGGGTTGGAAGACCTCCATGCCCTCTTGGCATTAGGTGATGTTTTCATTCCAAAACATTAATGAATAAAAACTAAAAGCCCAATCTATAACTTAGCCAGTCAAACAGTAACATCAGAAAATAACAATTTAGTTTTTTGGGGAAGTTTGTTTATGTTTTGTTCTTTGACAAGAAGCAACAATCTATAAAGGCTTATTGTACAGCGATTTTAATGTGTTGCTATATTGCAATTTGGTTGGTACTTATTTACCAATGTTATAAAATGTCTGAGATCCTCTTCAGTGTGTGTTTTTTGTAAAGGTGTTCTGTATTTTTATTGTAAAGATATAGGGTAAGTTCAAAAAAGGAACTGAAAGAGGGAAATAATTTTTTATCCAAATAGACATGACATACATTCCAAAGAAGCTCATGAACGAGCAGAACTTTATGATCATAAAAGCAGCTTGAAAAATAATCCACAATGGAAATGCATACATTATGATAGATAATTTCTGTTTTCTCAGTTTTATGTATTTGAAATGTACACATAGTAATTTTAATATACTTCTTTAAATAATCGGATTACTTAATATTAATGTTAATAAACTGCAAATAAGACTAAAAATTATTCTCTGGCTTTTCTTAGATATTGTAAAAAATCAGTCCTTTTTATTTTAAGTTTTAAATGGGAAAAGTTATTTGATCTGTTTTTGAAATGGAAATTTTAATAAATATACATATATAGTAATCAAGCTGTTTGTCTTGATTTCAGATACAAACTCTACAACGACAGCGCCCGGTGGCTGAGCACCAACCACAGCACTGGATCAGTTAAAGTTGTGAGCAGCATGGACCGAGAGTCACAACGTGTCAGAGAAAACAAATATACAGTTTTAGTTTTGGCTTATGATGATGGTAAATTTAAAATGTTACTGTTTTCACTGAACCATCACTGTGTTAATTCTGTTAAACAAATGAAAAACAACTTTCTTAACTCCTCCAGATCTTATTCCAGCTACAGGAACTGGTACTCTGGTTGTGAGTTTGTTGGATGTGAATGACCACCTTCCAGAGGTCAGGCAGAAAACAGCCACTCTGTGTAACTCTGACCCTTTTCCTGCACTCCTGGACGTAGTGGATCTGGATGGACCGGGTCATGCTGGGCCATTTACTGTGGAGCTTATAGAAGGACATAAGAAGAACTGGATTGTCAAAACCAATTCCACAAGTAAAGTGGCTGAGATGCTGATGAAGTGTTATGACAGCAAACTAGTGGTCCAAAAATAAAACTCTTTGTTGTAAAGTTTACATTTTGCTTCCTCCCCCTAGGCAATGTGGCGGCTCTCTACCCCAAACAAAACCTACCTCCTGGGAACTATAATGTTACCATGATGATTTATGATGTTGGGGGGCTCTACAAAGACAGTACTCTGGTTGTAGAGGTGTGCCACTGTCAAGGTGGAGTAGATGCCTGTTTGCCAAGGAGTAAAGGACATGAAGACATTCCTTCTTTTGCAACCCCTCTACTGGTATCTGTCTTTGGCCTCCTGTGTAAGTGGCCATCTGATCCTGAAAATAACTTGATCAGTTTTGTCTTTTGTCACTTACTTTGCATTCGATTGCAGTGCTGCTCCTGCTACTCCTGCTGCTCCTGCTGCTGCTGAGCAGAAGGAGGAGAAAGGAGGCCCCTCTCCTGGAAGATCTGACCCGTGATGACCTATTCTGCTACAGTGAGGAGGGAGGAGGTGAAGACGACAGGGTATGTGGAGAGGGAGCGGAACAGGACCAATAGCTGTTAGTTTGTGCATTTTTAGGGGACTGCAGCTACATGATATTTCTAACATGTGCACATTTGCCTTTAAGTCCTCAAACCGTGTTGAGATTCATACTTTCAGCATATTATATCCCCAAGATCGTTACATTAAAAAAGCTCAGGTGAATCTTACATCTGTGTGACAAAGAATGACCACTTACATTGTTTGGAATCGCTCATTCTTTTTTTATTGTTCTTTTGCAGGACTATGATTTGTCCCAGTTGCACAGAGGGCTGGACAACCGACCTGAAGTCTTCAGCACAGATGTGTTTCCTACTGTCCAGGCTCGACCGGGGTACCGTCTGCAAATTCAAGCCAACGAGGACGTTTGCAATTTTATTGAACATGTGAGACATCAAAAGATTGAAATACAGCACATTAGAAACATTCAATGCATCCTGAATCTTTGTCCCTAATTGTTATGCTTTGTCCAGAACCTACAAGCAGCAAACAGAGACCCCACAGCTCCTCCGTATGACTCTCTGCTCGTGTTCGACTATGAGGGTGGAAGCTCTGAGGTGGGTTCACTCAGCTCCATTCAGTCTTCAGATTCAGACGTGGATCAGGATTTTGAGAGTTTGAATCAGTGGGGGCCATGCTTTGGCAGACTGGCAGACCTGTACGCAAAGGGAAGAGAGGAGGAAGACGATGACAACCAAACACTGCCAGGAAAATCAGAATTATTCTAACATTATCAAATATATTGGGAGGTCATCTAAACTTACAGCTGTCTGTCTTAGAAATGATCAGTGGACATTTTTTTTGCCACCAAGTGTTTTTTTAATTTTACAGAGGCTTTACTCTCTTTCTGTTAGCTTTGTGTGTGCTACTGCTGAATTCTTTGACAATAATATTTAAACAGAAATCCTATTTGATTGTTTTTGATGCACTTCTGTTTTAAAGTTTTTTTAGGTTTTTTTTTTTTTTACTTGTTTATTGCCATTAAGTTAAAATGTGATTTCAAGCTATTTTGGGAAAACATTTATACCCTGAACTTTTTTAAATTTTACCACAGGACAGCTTCAAACTTTTATGTATTTAGTGAGGATTTATGTTATAGTTTAGACCAGGGCTTTGCATCCTCTTTCAACATTCTACTGTGGCTCGATTGTTGGCTAAAAATGCTTAACATATAAGCATTATTTAAGTTGTAAAGGTGATTAAAGTATGGCAGCTTGAGCTTTTGCAAGGTATTACTGTGATTTCTTAGCCTACAAAATCTTGTACTTTATCAGTCCATATGTTATATGAACCAAAGGTTTTGCTATGTGTGAGTCTTTGTACTTCAAATTTTGATGCATCAATAAAATACTCCATAAATGAAACCAAGACTCTGATGCTTGAGTAATCCCACCCTTTATACTGATGACAAATCTGATTCCTGACCAGTGATTGTCTTAAGAATGAACTTTAGTCATTCATTATCTTCCAACTCAGATGAACTTTGACACCAAAAGTCTTCAGTGCTGTGCCACACCAAGGACTTATAGAAACAATGAGAAAAGGTTTCTGTTGTCTCTCTATTCTTTTTTTTGTTATTTGATATTTTATGTTGAAATGAAGACCTGTCCAACCCTAACCCAAGAAATGAATAAAAGGGAACAACTTTCAGCAAAGGTACGTTAGTAAAAAAGGTAAATTAGGTGTTGGAAAATTGTGAAAAGTGTCATTTATTACCTTACTTTTTAAAATTTGACCCTGTTAATGCTTTTTTCATCCACAACAGACGATGCAGAACATGTTTCAGGAGGGGTTGTACCAGGTTTTTTTTAAGGAGACTCCTCCAGCCAGCCCCTCCACTGAGACCAGTAACACTAATAATGAGGAGCTAACAAATGTTAGGATTCATCGTTGGTTTGGGACTGTGGTAAACACGAGACTTTTAGTCACTGGGGTAAGGTGCCGTCTTTTTCTGCTCATCCAAAATACCGTAATTATGAGAAGTTCATGTACGCTCATCAGGGGCATCATATTGATTTGGAGTTTTTAAAAAGATGCATTTGAACAACCGCAATAGAAACCTGGTGCACAACTTGACTTTTTTCAAATCCCAACAGAGTGAAAATCAAACATACACTGCTACTAATATCTAAATAGACATTTTGCTTAACCTTTTAAAGCTTGTACACCTTCATCATGCCATTCAATTTCTGAAGTGCACCAGTAACATTAGAACAAATGCTGAGTGTAATGTCGCCACCTTTTGGCTCAATTCATAGTGACCAAATATCTCAGTTTTGTTTTGTTTTACTCAAAAACAATTATCCAGAAGCTTAAATCCAATTTGACTTTAATGTGTGGCTTTTGGAACAGGAGCTTCTTTCTCAGTCAGCACTCTCTCTGTCCATGTTGGGGTTAAACTTATCCAACTATGAACAGTAACACTGTTCATAGTTGGATGTTAGTGCAAGATGGAGTTCCATCTTGCACTACTTTTCCTGTAGGGAATGTTTGTAAAGCTCTGGTTGGCACTGTGTGTTGTGATTCTGATTTTGAGCTGATTTTGAGTATTTTCTTCAGGTGATTCAGGTCCTCAGCGCCTTGGCGAGCATTTTGGCCACAGTGGGCCATGCATGTGTGTGTTACAGCTGTTCTGTTGTCATGGTAACTCCAGTCTGGTCAAGCTTGACAGTAAGTCACTTTCTGCTTTGCAATGTTTTCATTAAGAGCACCTGAACTTAAGAGAGGCAAGTTAAATCTAACTATTGGTGATGTTACAGTATGCAGCTGCTGGGTGTCTGGCAGTGGAGGTTCAGAGGAAGGCTAGTAACATAAAGGTAAAAACATTATCTAGTGATAGGTCAGGATTTTATCATGAGCTGTTTTCACTTGTTTCTCACTCCAAACAGATCATCATTCTCATGGCGCTGAACGTTTTCAGTCTGTTGTTTGGATTTGCTGCTCTGCTGGCCAATAGCCTGGCATCTGTGGAAGCTGCAGACCTGAGCTCATACCAGCAGGTAAATCTGCAGAATTACTGTTAATGTTCCTGTTATGAATAGGATCGTGACATTTCCCACTCTCTGTCTCCTTCTTGTTTTCATGTGATAAGCGGGCTGGTTCAAATGTTATGAAGGGGAGCTACATTGTGTTCACTGCCCTGTGTTTTGTGGGAACATTTTACATCCTATTTCTGTGCTGGAGAGGTCTGCGCCGATACAGTTCTCGCAATGTTAAGACCTACATCCGCATCTCACAGGTACGAATGCCTCCTGAACCAAAGTACAGTTTATTTACAGTTGAAACTGTAATTTCACAGCAAGAGAGACTGGTATGCACTGCAAAATAGATAACATCATAAGGGAGGAAAATCATGAAGAAACATTAAATGTATTATTTTTGGCATCTAGTTAATAGAAAAATAGGAATTTGGGTGATCCTAACTGATTAAGAGTCATCAGGTGAGAAAGGACTGTATTCATAACACATAACACAGATATTTTAATTCTGTGTTATGCATATGAACACTCATTAAGAATGTTGCCGATTTATTGCACTTCTAGACTTTTCACCGTTGATCATAATGTGGTTTTAATTAATTTTCTTAACAGGATCCAGAGGACACGAATGGACTTCTGACAGAACAAGAAGACCTGAATCTATAAAATTTGATGTCATGAAATATCTTTAAATTCATTTTATGTGCATGGCATTTGTACACTAAGTTATTGTTGCACTATATTCTTTGTACCATCTGGACATAAAAAAGCTAATTTGATGTATAGACCGCTTCTCCGGGATTCTAGAAGAAATCACAAGAACTTTAAGCTTCAAAGCAAATAATTTCATAACCTATCTTTGAATTTGGTAACAAATTCAAAGTTATGTGAATTTGTTTGTTTTTGGGGTACAGCAATAATGTTCTTGGGTCAATTTGACCCGGGTGTTTAATCATGCAATAGTGTCAGAAACCAAAATATTCCTCCAAAAACACTTTTGTATCTGATTATTAACTCCAATACTAATTATTTCAATCAATATCTGCACAATGATGTTTTCTTTTATTTTTCACAAATAAAGGATCAATGATGGCAATCCACTCATTTACTCATGTGGACATAAAAAATGGATCTTACAATTTTTATGTCCACTGAAAAAAACCTAAACACACAGACAAAAAAAACATTAATTTCCTTGAAATTGTTCTTTTGCTATTTTTTTCACAATACATTTTATTTGATTTTTTTTCAGATCTTTATTATTGAACTTGACACAGATACTGTTCAGGGTCAAATTTAATCACTGTTTAAAATCAAGACAAATGAGTCATGCAGAGAGTATTTATGTTTTCCTCCACTTCTGCTGAGAGTCACTCAGTGTGGGTGGAGTTTGTCCACGGGAACAGAAAAGGTTCCCGTCAAAAACTGTATGCTTTCTCGCAGTTTCCTGGTGAAGTAAAGAGAATAGTGAGAAAGTGGGCTTGTGTGCGTGCACGTGTGCAAATGTGTAAAATGAATACATTTTCAGTTTATATGTAGAGTGCACCTATTAAGGCAAAAAGAAAAAGTTTCATGCAAAAAAAAAAAGAAAAAAAATACACTTTCAACTATTAAAAAAAAACAAAACACAAAACTTTAAAACTGGTCAATTTGACCCGCAACATAAGAGGGGGGTTTAATTCTTTGAGACGGTGCAAGTGTGAAAATTGCTTTCATTTTCCAAAATGTTATATTTGATATCGACACTAGAGGGCAGCATTGGTGATGTAGACGCCAACATTTTTCATACTAACATACTAAACTTTTTTCTCAAAACCTTCAACTAAATTCATGTGAAAGAGGAAACATTATGAGCAAGTGCAAAAGCCAAACTAGTAAATTAGGTCTAAATCTACGAAATAAAACTCAAACAACCAGTGGACAGGCTTATGCTCAATGTTTTTGTCAAACTTGAAGACATCTGTATTGCAAATTTGTGATACTTTAGTTGGTCGGCTGCAGATGTAGTGAAGGGTGTGGTGTGTTTGAGCATTTTGGTGATGGGGGATTTCATTAAGAACACATAACAAGGTCACAGACCATTCATGTAGCAAGTATGCACACACACCCACATACACACAGCGATATACACAGACTTATGAGTGAAGAAAAAAAAAAAAAATCAGAGTGCAGCTACTTTCTCACGACATGTCTGACTAACAGCTTCCAGCTGTTGCTAGCTTGGGAGAGCTGCAATGGGAACCCACTGAGTACAAAGAGAAAGATGGGATTAATGCAAAGACGGACACAAAACTGTAGTACAAACCAAATCAGGATGAGGAGTTGATGTGCAGCAAAAGTGTCCAGACCCCTTGAAGCATTTCATATTGTCATATTTTTTTTATTATTATTATTTTATTTACCACTACAAACATCAATGTACTCAAAATTATGAAGTGGGTGGTCTAAGCTTTTTTGTTTCGAAATAAAAATCTGAATAAAATGCCAACATCAACCGGTTGCTTTAGAATTGTGAAAACACTAACTATAAATCATCCTGAACACAAAATCCCCACATGTTGGCAGCATCATGCTGGGGGATTGCTTTTCTCTAGTGGAGATGGTCAAATCTGATAAGATGATGGACAGAAGTGAATTGTGGAGAGCATAACGAAGAAAATCATTTAGAGCGACAAGGGACAGCGATTCACCTTCAAGGAACCACAGCTACAATGGCGTGGCTCATGTCAAAGTCTGGAAATACAGTGGAAACCACAAGTCCATCCATCCATCCATCCATCCATCCATCCATCCATCCATCCATCCATCCATCCATCCATCCATCCATCCATCCATCATCCATCCATCCCATCCATCCATCCATCCATCCATCCCATCCATCCATCCATCCATCCTTCCATCCATCCATCCATCCATCCATCCATCCATCCATCCATTTTCTAATACCCTGGACAGGTCACCTGTAGGTCACAGGGCAACAGTTATAGACAGGACAGAATTTTGACAGAGAGGAAGCCAGAGTACCCAGAGAGAACCCACTCCATGCAGAAAGTTCCCGGGCCAGGAATCGAACCCAGGACCTTCTTGCTGCAGCAGTGCTACCAACTGCACTACTGTGCAGCCCCAATTGAAGTCAACATATTTTGATTGTGCTGTAAAATGTGCCTGGAAAACACAAAATGCTGCCCATGTAAAATACATTCACAGGTGCCTCCTATTGTCTGAAATGCTTCACATTTACCGATCAACAGATGGTGACGCCTCTAACTGTTTAAATGTGTCATTATCTTAGTGTCGGTAAACATGCAACTGAAGTCAGCAAATAAAACATTCTTAAGCTGTTCCCAGTACTTATCATGGCATTAAGCACGTTGCACTAACTGGTGATTTCAACTTGCCTATAACAGAAAATAATTAGTATTATTAAAAGTCAGTTAGTGAGACAAAAATAAATAATTTCAGCAGTGTGGTGCTAATCACACGGGAAATCTGATGTTCACAGATGTTCTTCATTCAATCTGACTGAGCTTCAGGAAGTTCGGGAAGAGGAATGGAGAGCGATTTTAAAACCTACACAGTTGTTCGCATGAGGCCTAAAGATGGCTGTTACATACAAGAGTAAAAAAAGAGTGAAATGCCCTGTGGTTTGCAGAGTCACGTCTTTTATGTTGGTTCTTCCAGTGACTCAGTCGGAAATCCTGTGAGAGGGAAGTGACTGCAGCCAGCCTGGACGTGATGACATGAGAGTGAACTCGTCTGGTGGACTGGAACCGATGAATTCACGTTGGCATTACCTTTATGAAGAAGTGTGACACTGTGACTTCTTAGTTAAGGCCTCCTGAAGATATTTTATAAATACACATTAAGTAAAAAAAACATACAGAGACGTCATTTTGAGAACATTCATCAATAATTTATTTTCTTACTCTCAAGAACCACCACAGCTTCTCATCTTGAAAATTCATCATTAATTTCCAACAACACAGTTTTGCAAAATGTAAAGTTACTATACAAATTCTTAATAGAAAAAAAGAATAAATTAACTGTGGAATTCAGTTTTTTTTTTAATCAATTCCACATTTTTTTTTTCTACAACTCATTTAATGTAATATTACAGCTGAAGAGAACTGATCAACTCAAGTTACATGCTCTACTGTCTGGTTGAGGAGGTGATCTAACATTAAACTGCCAGTTACAATAAATTCATTTTGCATGAATGGAGAGATGTCGAGTTCCTACGATCCAAAGCAGTAACTGGTCGTTTTGTAGCACCTGAAAGGGTTTCTTAGTGTTGGAAAAAAGAAAATACTGGCTGATATAAAATGTTAATGCTGCTAAAACAATGAATGCGAGTTAGAAAATCCCATCGACCCTAACAGCTGTCCTCTGAATGTACATGAAAAAAACTCCACAGGGTTGGAGCGTTACAAAATTCTTCAACACATGATCACGGAGCAGGAAAAGTTTGTTTTGTGGGACTACAGAAGGTTTTCACACTGGTTTACAATGAGCTCAGAGATTATAATCGGATCAGTCCTTTGTAGGCGTCTGAACAACACTATTAAACAATGACAGTTCATTTTAGCTGGAGGAAAACGGTGCGGCGTCTGACGTCTTTTGTCTGTGGGTCTGCATGCACGAGCTGGGTCTTCAGCACATAAACTAATCCTAAGACATTAGTAGGGAGAAGTCAAACCTGACCGCTCTCTTGAAATGAATTCCTATCAACGATAAACTTGATTGCTGGTTCTAATCTTGCATAAAGACGTTTTAAAGTTGACGAAGCAAGGATTACTCTTGGAGGAGTAGACATGCACTTAGGGAGCGGGCTGCACCTCCTCGTAAAACAATGTAGAGTTAGAAGTTTTTCTTAAGTGCTGATGGTCACTTATAACAGAGGTTATTATGGTGGGAATAATGGGATTCGTACCATTCACAAATCCTTGTTGTAGTGTTACTTGAACAATAGGGTTAAATCATATACATGTGATGGTCATATTTGTGAAGTAAAACAGTTAATAAATTACAATTTTGTGCTATAAAAAACGATAGAGGGAATCATTTTGCACCACCGGGATTTGTTGGTGACACTTGGGGAAACTGGTTTAAAGACCAGCTGTGCTTTTCTAACCCTGTTCTGACGGTTTGATTGGACGCTGTGGGACAAGAGTTATAAGGATTTACAAACATCTCTGGCCTCTGGCAATAGTTTCCTTTTTGCACTTAAAAGTGTGGCCTTTTCTGACCAAAACGTTAATGGTTACACTTGCTAAGAGAACACAGTAACTGCAAATGTTGTGCTTTCAATCAAAAGTACGTTTAAATGAACGAGTTTAATTGGTTGAGTGTTTCCTGGCTGCTGCTCAATGGAATGGCTTTAGAGTGTGATGGAGTATGTCTTAAGTCTGAAATGGGTTCAATATTATGTTACAGTACAAATGCAGAGCACCAGTTTTGTGGAGCTTGCTCAGAGGATGGGCAGAAAACACAGCACTATAAAGGGATTGACAGTCACTGAGCAAAACCGGCTCAGACGAAAACTGGTGGAAAAAATAAGAGGCAACACTATAAAAACAGCTCACCACAGTCACTGCGCAGCTTCAAGATGAAACTCTAAGGTCGAACAAACAGACTTCAACAGTTACACTTCACTGAGAGGTGATGATAAATCAAAAGGTGGAAAACCAGAAAAAAAAAACTGAACTAAAACCAAACACTACAGGGTCTGTGACTGGATGTAGCCACAACAACGTCTCCAATAAATCCTGTGCTCTGACCGCATACAGGTGCATCTCAATGAAACATATTATTATTGAAAAGCTATTACATTTCAGGAAGAGTAGAGAAGCATAAAATCCAAGTCAGGCCTGTTGTGAAGTTTCCACAGTCTGAGGATTTGGGGAGCCACGTTTTGTACTGGAGTTAAGTCAGCACAGACATCTACCAGGAAATTTCAGAGCACCTCCTGTTTTTCTGATTTCATCTGTCCTTCGGGGACTTGGAACCTGCCAGAAGTATCAACAACTGCTTTAGTAAATGTGGTATCACTGTACTTAATTGACCAGCAAACTCTCTGGATCTAAACCACACAAACAG